TAAAGATTTATTTATTTATTTATTTATTTGACAGAGAGGGACAGTGAGAGAGGGAACACAAGCAGGGAGAGTGGGAGAGGGAGAAGCAGGCTTCCCACCGAGCAGGGAGCCTGATGTGGGGCTCGATCCCAGGACCCTGGGATCATGACCTGAGCCGAAGGCAGATGCTTAACAACTGAGCCACCCAGATGCCCCTCAGACCCACTCTTCTTCCAGGCAGCATGGTCAGCAGAATAATGGCTCCCAAAGATGCCCATGTTCTAATCCCAGTGACTCGTGGATATGTTAGGTTCCATGGCAAACAGGAATTAAGATTGCAGATGGAATTAAGGTTACCAATCTGCTGGCTTTAAAACAGATTATCCTGTGCAACCAATATAATCACTTAAAAGTGAAAAAGGGCGGGGGAAAAATGAGAAAGGGCAGCAGAAGAAGGGAGTCAGAGGGAGGTGTGACTACGGAAGGAAGACACAGAGAGGATGCAGTGTTGCTGTCTTTGAAGATGGAGGAAGGAGGTCATGAACTAAGGAATGTTGGGTGGCCTCTAGAAGAAAGAAAAGGCAAGGAAATGGATTCTGCCCAAAAGTGTCTGGAAAGGAACTGTTGATATCTTTTTTTTTTATTTATTTATTTGAGACAGAGAGAATGAGAGACAGCATGAGAGGGGGGAGGGTCAGAGGGAGAAGCAGACTCCCCGCCGAGCAGGGAGCCTGATGCGGGACTCGATCCCGGGACTCCAGGATCATGACCTGAGCCGAAGGCAGTCGCTTAACCAACTGAGCCACCCAGGCACCCGGAACTGTTGATATCTTGATTTTAGCCCAGTGAGACCCTTGTCAGACTTCTGAACTGCAGAACTATAAGAGAATTAATTTGTGTGGTTTTAAGCCACTAAATTTGTGGTGATTTGTTATAGCAGCCCTAGGCCTGTGTCTCTTCTCCATTATCCTATGGGGTCACATCAGCCCTAGTCAGTGCTGGAAGAGACTACAGAGTGGTGTGAATACCAGAAGGTGGGAATCATTGAGGACATACTGCTGTTCAACAAATCATCACAAAAAAAGAATGGCTTGAAACAAAAACGGCCATTTAATTTTCTTTTACAGATTTTATAGGTGGGGAATTTGGGAAGAGAGTTTTGGCTGAGAATTCTGGTTCCCATAGTTGCAGTGAGATGATGGCTAATACTGGAACAGTGGGAGACTGAAGTAGCTGAGGGCTAACCTAGCAATTCTTTCTCTTGTAGTCTCAGGGTCCATGGAGTCTCTCTGTAGGGGCTAGTTTGGGCTTCCTCAGCATGGCAGTCTCCACGCTACACTAGCCAGCTTTTGAAATTGTCCTGAAAGATTTCCATCTTCTAGTATTCATATCATTCATTGTGTAGTCTCTTTCCACACTAGACAGGGCTGACCTGAGCCCATAGAATAATCCAGAAATTATGGTGTGTCACTTTCATGGCTAAGTCATAAAGAGATTGTGGCTTCCATCTTGCTCCCTTCTCTGTGTGAGGCCAGTTGCCATGTTAGGAGGACACTCAGGCAGCCCTAGGGAATGGACCGCTTGGTAAGGAACTGAGGCCTTTTGCCAACAACCAGCATGACCTTGCCAGGCTTGTGAGAGAGCCACCCTGGAACTGGATTCTCCAGCATCAGTCAAGCCTTTAGGTGGCTCTAGTTTTAACCAACATCTTGACTGGAACTTCATGAGAGATCCTGAGCCAGAACCACCTAGCTTAGCTGCTTCCAGATCCCTGACCCGAAGAAACTGTGTAAGATTCTAAATGTTTATTGTTTTGAGCTGCGATGCTGTGGGGGTAACTTGTTACACAGCCATAGGTGATTAATACAGGGCAGTCGGACTGCTTGCAGAGCAGCTCCAGATTCTAGTACAAGGGCTCCAGGGAGCGAGGGGGAAGCCGTATCATCTTTTACGATTTAGCTTAAAAGTCACATGGTAGGGTGCCTGGCTCAGCTGGTGGAGCATGTGACTCTTGATCTCGGGGTTGTACATTTGAGCCCTACATTGGGCATAGAGATTACTTAAAAATAAAATGTTTTTTTAAAAAGTCACATAGTATCCCTTCCACTGTAACACAAACATCCTCAGTTCCAAGGGGAGGAACACAGAACTCCATCTCTTGATTTGAGAAGCGTCAAAGTCATATTCTAAGACGTTTGTGTGGGGTGGGCCATTTTTGGAAATACAAACTGCCACATGGGACAGCATTATTTTCTCCCCTGTCTTCTCTTACTCCCTACAGGTCATGGCTTCCAACCTCTGCCCCGAGCCTATATCTCTCTCCTGGGCTACAAACCCCTTAGTGGGATCGCCTCTTGGCTGTCACCACCTGGATGCCTCACAGGCCATTCAGATGCAATGCAATGCACCCCAAAGTGAACCCCTTAAACTTCCCCAAACCTGTTCCTCATCTGGGGTTTCCCATTTTAAACATGGCCCCTTCACCCATCCAAGCCACTCCTCCTGGATTGCTCTCTCAATCCCTTTAATCTATGCAGACCACTACCCTGGTCCAAGCTACCTTCACCTCCTACCTAAATAAATGCAGTAGTCTCCTCACTGGTCTCCCAGGTATACTTGTCCCTCATCCACAGATTGATTCTCTACACCACAATCAAAGTGATCCTTTCAAAAAAAAGAATGATTGTAGGTGTGTCTGGCTGTCTCAGTTGGTAGAGCATGCGACTCTTGAACTCGGGGTCGTGAGTTCAAGCCCCACTTTTGGCCTAGAGCTTATTTAAAAAAAATAATGATGTAGTTCTGTCACGTTCTGCCTTTCAATAGCATCCCGTTTCAATAGCTCAGAAAATAAAGCCCCAAATTTCCTTCATTTTTTCAACAAATGTTTATGGTGCAAATGTTATGTGCCAGAAATGTGTTAGGATCTTGGGATAAAGCAGGAAAGCAGACAAATATTCATGCTCTGGTGTTACATTTTATTTTATTTTTTAGAGATTTTATTTATTTGAGAGAGAGAGAGAGAGCACAAGTGGGAGGGGACAGAGAGAAGCAGGCTCCCCACTGGGCAGGGAGCCTGACATAGGGCTCAATCCCAGGACCCCGGGATCACGACCTGAGCCGAAGGCAGACGCTTAACCAACTGAGCCACCCAGGCGCCCCTGGTCTTACATTTTAGAAGAGAAGAGAAAAGGGGCACCTGGGTGGCTCAGTCAGTTGAGCATCCGACTTTTGATTTCCGCTCAGGTCATGATCTCACGGTCGTGGGATTGAGCCCCACAGTGGGGCTCAGGGCTCCATGCTCAGCAGGGAGTCTGCTTGAGATTCTCTCTCTCCCTCTCCTTCTGCCCTCCCCCTGCTCTCTTTCTGTAAAATAAATAAATAAATCCTTTTAAAAAAAGAGATGAAAAAGTGTGCAATTAATACAATCAATACATAAAGTATATAATATGTTGTTGGTGACAAATGCTACAAATAAAATAAAAAGTAGAGCAGAGTGGGGAGAATGGAGGTGACTGCAAGTTTATTTATTTATTTATTTATTTATTTATTTATTTATTTATTTATTTTGCAAGTTTAAATAGGATGGTCAGGGTGGCCTTCATTTAGTTGACATTTGGGCAAAAGCTTGAAGGAGGTGAGGGGTAAGCTATGTGGATATCTAGGGGAAGGGTGTTCCAGGCGGAGAGAACAGCCAGTGAGAGGCTCTGAGGCGGGGTGTACCTGGTTTGTTTAGGGAGCAACAGGGAGGCCAGTGTGGCTGCAGTTGTGTGTGGGGGGGTGGGGGGTAAGGACGGAGAGAAAAGAGGGGAACAAGTCTTTTTTTTTTTTTAAAGATTTTATTTATTTATTTGAGAGAGAGAGAGAGAGAATGAGAGAGAGCACATGAGAGGGGTTATGGTCAGAGGGAGAAGCAGACTCCCTGCCGAACAGGGAGCCCGATGCGGGACTCGATGCGGGACTCGATTCAGGGACCCCAGGATCATGACCTGAGCCGAAGGCAGTTGCTTAACCAACTGAGCCACCCAGGCGCCCTCAAGTCTTTTAATCTTTCTGTAAAGTGAGAACAATAACAGTACCTGTCTCCGAGAGTTGCTATGGAGAGAAAGTTAATACAACCCAGGGCTCTTCGAAGAGTGCCTGACCAGCGGTGAGCTCTGCAGGAGTGTTGGGAAAGCCCTGGGTGCATGACCACCCTCGGCCGCTGGGTGACAGCAACGAGTTCAGGCGGCGCGCCGCTCGAGCGAGCGGGGTTAAATGGGGTGAAGTCCTGCCCGATGCCTCCCGCCTCAGTGCCACTGTGACAGCTCCCCACTACCGGACACGCCGCGGCCACGTGAGCACGGAGCTCTGGCACACCGCAAGCACTCCCAGTCCTCTGCTTCTCGGCGCGTGCTGTCCTCCCCCCGGAACCACCCTTCCCTCTCCCTTCTTCCCACCGGCTCAAGCCGAGCCCGCCTCGGGAGCTGAGTGGCCTCCCGGCCTCACTCCAGTATATTGCTAGGATGCTGGAAAAGAAAGGGTGGGAATGGTGTGGGGATGAAGGGGCACAGAGGAAATCCAGAGACTCAGGGAGCCCTATCCTCATGGTCTACGCAGACCTTCCCCCAATTCCTCAGGCAGGCCATCCATGGTAAAGGGTCCCACCTCTGCTGAAGTTTATAGACAGCCTTTGGGCTCCAAAGATGTTGCCTGCTTCATTTAATCCTTTTTTAATTTAAAAATTAAATTAAGGGTACCTGGGTGGCTCAGTCGGTTAAGCGTCTGCCTTCGGCTCAGGTCATGATCCCCAGGTCCTGGGATCCAGTCCCATATCGGGCTCCCTGCTCAGCGGGGAGTCTGCTTCTCCCTCTGCCTTCTGCTCCCCCTGCTTATGCTCTCTCTCTCTGACAAATAAATAAATAAATCTTAAACAAAACTTATATTAAAAATAATAATAATAAAACTAAAATTAAAAAAAAATTAGAAAATATATAACCATGGTAAAGAAAAATCCAATCAGTACAAATACAAGTACACACACACAAACACACACACGGAGTAAGGTCTCTCCTCCATCATCTCCTGCCTGGAAAAAGTAAATTGTTTTTTCACTGGTCTCTCTGCATTTGGTCTCACCAACACCCTATCTCCCAAACACTACAGCCACAGGGTTCTGTCTAAAGAGCAGATCAAATTAAAACCCTTCAGTGACTTCTTACTAACTCAGGACATATGCAGACTTCTTGCCCTTTATGATCTAGTTCTGGTCACCCCATTCAGCCCCTCTTCTTCCTAGACTCCACATGGCTGCAGGTATATCCTCAGATTATCCAGGCTGTTCTCTGTCTTTTCATACCCTTTCCACTACGGCTTGGGCACCTGGCCACGTCCTACTCAAGCTGCACCTGTCCCAGTGTCCCCGACCCTATTTGATGCTTCCATCCCGTGCAGCCCTCATCAGGATTTATGACACTGAAACTGTCTTCCTCTGTGGGTCAGGGAAAAGTCTACTTAGTTAATTCAATACCCAAGCTCCTCCTCTGGCACTGAAAAGTCACCCAGTCAGCGTGACAGGCACGAATGAGTAATAATAACATACTCACATAGTGCTAATTCCATGCCTGGCACTGTTCTAGGTACTTTACATATATAAATTCATATACCCACACAACCCCAAGGTTGATAGATCCTAATTATACCAACACAGAAATTAAAATATTGAGCAGTTTCAGTGAGTTGCTCCAGACAGTAAAAGTGGCTGAACTAGGGTTTGAACCAGCAGTCTGGTTTTCCACAAATGGAAGGAGAAGGATGGGACCGCAGGGAAGGGAACCAGGTAGGGTTTGGTCTGTGTTCTTCACATCTAAGGGTCTTCCCGCCCTCTCCCATTTCGCTCCCAGGAAGCCCATTTTATAAAGCAGGAGACAGAGACCCAGGGAGACCACAGATAACTCCGAGAGAACTGTAGAAGGAGCCGTGGAATTTATTTGGGGGTCCAGGAGCAGGGGCGTAGCTGGGATGGTCTCGCTCCAAACTACAACTCCCAGGAGGCACCGGGCCCCCAAAGCCCACATGACGTCACGGCGGCAGAGGGCGCAGGCGGCTCGGCTATCCGGGCCTGTCGACTGTTGGGCCGTTCCGCTCGGACCTCGGCCCTGGCCCTGGCCCTGGCCCTGGCCCCGCGGTAAGTGGAGCAACCGGCGCGGACCCTGCCTGCGGAGGCTTGGCGGCGCGGGCTCGTAGCCTCCGCCATTGAGCTGGACCGCGGAGTGCGCGTGGACCGGGGTGGCATCTACCATATAGGGGGGATCCGGGCCGAACCAAGTGACCCTGCGGAGGGGGAACCCAGACGGCGACTCCAGGGCCGCCACTTCGATGCAGCCGGCCGCCAGGTGCACAGAGCTGTGTGTGCCACACACGGGCAGGCCACGCTCCTGGGGGGCCCGGGTCTGAAGGCGTTGGGTAGGGGTCAGCCCCGCCCCCTGAACGAGGGTGCCCAGAACCGCGGGGAGGGGTGTTGTTTTCGGGCTGGACCGGTCTGAGGATCCCGTCCCCTCCAGGCACCAGATGGAGCGTCAAGTTGAAGAATAGCCCGGGAAAACAAGGTTGTACAGGCTCGGCCTGTATGTGTTTGCGGAGGTGGTTGAATGGGTGGGTCGAGATTGCCCAGGTCTGATGATACCAGTGCCACGTGGAGAGATGGTGCGAATTGTTTGGATTCGGATCCTTACAACTCCCCCCTTCCCTTCCTCTCCCCCCCCCCCCCGGCAGATGGGAGCTGCCCCCTGGGGGCTGAGCTTGTCAGCATCCTTGACCTGCAGTCGCTCCTGAAGTCAGAGAAGAGCCCCTGCCCACCCAGCACACCCCTTGCCCCGCTTTGGGGTCGCCTCGGTGTATCTGGTCCTCTGCCCTAGCGGCCGCCTAGTCCAAAGAGAAACAAAGGAGCAGAGAGGACGATGATACTGGCGTCCGTGCTGGGGAGTGGTCCCCGGAGCGGACCTCCACTCCGGCCCTTACTGGGGCCTGCACTCTCGCTCCGGGCTCGCTCCACATCAGCCACCGATACGCACCACGTGGAGATGGCGCGGGAGCGCTCCAAGACCGTCACCTCCTTTTACAACCAGTCGGCCATCGATGTGGCAGCGGAGAAGGTCCGGAGCTGGAGTGGGTGTCCAGGGAAGGGGTGGGGCTGATGTGGTGGGGGCGGGGCGTTGCAGATCCAGTGCTCAAAGCCCATCTGCCCCTCCAGCCCTCAGTCCGCCTCACTCCGACCATGATGCTCTATTCAGGCCGCTCTCAGGATGGCAGCCACCTTCTGGTAAGATTCCAGCCCCCTATTTCTGTCTTGGTTCCTGGAGCCCTGGCACAGCCATTCAGGCCCTGGCCCTGACTTCCCTCTTTTCTCCTAGAAAAGTGCCCGGTACTTGCAGCAAGAGTTGCCAGTGAGGATCGCTCACCGCATCAAGGGCTTCCGTAGCCTTCCTTTTATCATTGGCTGCAACCCCACCATACTGCACGTGGTAAGGGGGCCTCTGGGGGGCGTGGGTTTCTCTCGAGGGGACTGTAGATCAGTGTGCCCCCAACTGCCCAAGGGATGTATTGGGAGACGGGACCAGAGTGGCAGAAACTTGTCTGCCAAAAGGTTTCAGGGCCAGAGGGCTCAGACCCAGGCCTTAAGAGGCCAAAGTTCCATATTCATTGAGGCTTAAAAGACCATGATGGGGGTTTAAACCAAGTGAATTGGGATGGATGGCAATCCCCATGGGTAAGCATGGGTGGCTGTTCTCTACCCAGTGCCCACGGCATCCCTGTGAATTCCTACACCTCTTCCTTGCAGCACGAGCTGTACATCCGTGCCTTCCAGAAGCTGACAGACTTCCCTCCGGTGAGGGCTGGGCCAGGGCAGGGTGAGGGGCTGAGAGGTCAGGGCTGAAACATCCAAGCTCATGACTCTGTGGCCTGTAGATCAAGGACCAGGCGGACGAGGCCCAGTACTGCCAGCTGGTGCGACAGCTGCTGGACGACCACAAGGATGTGGTGACCCTCTTAGCTGAGGGCCTGCGCGAGAGCCGGAAGCACATAGAGGTCAGGGGCAGCACAGTGGGCACCCGGGCCTATCGGGGGGCCTGGGAAAGGCACAGGGTTTCTGAGGCCCCACTCTTCACAGGATGAGAAGCTCGTCCGCTACTTCTTGGACAAGACACTGACTTCGAGGCTTGGGATCCGCATGTTGGCCACACATCATCTGGCGCTGCATGAGGACAAGGTGGGGTGCTGGGATCTGAGACCTACCAGGTGGGGCAGAGGGGACTGAGCCAGGGTCTCCCTTGGGCTGGGGACTGGACCAAGGGCCTGGGAGAGGCTTGGGGCTGCTTCAGCGGTCCAGAGAGATTGCAAGCATTTGGTGGCCGAGGTGTGGGTCAAGGTACTGCTTAGTCCTGACTTTTTTTCTCCTGCCAGCCCGACTTTGTTGGCATCATCTGCACTCGCTTATCGCCAAAGAAGATTATTGAAAAGTGGGTGGACTTTGCCAGGTGAGGCTAGAACAGCTAAGGGGGTGGGTGTCTTCTGGCTGGAAAGGCTTGGGTCTGAGCCCTTGCCTACGGCAGGGGTTCTCAAATGTGGCATTTTGGGTCAGATAATTCTTAGGGGCCGTCCTGTGCCTGTTAGGATCTTTAGAAGGATCCCTGGCTTCTATTCAATGCAACTCCCTGTTGTGGCAAGGAAAAATATCTCTAGAAATTGCAAAATTCCTCTGGGAGTGGTGGGGGCAGAATCACCTCCATCTGAGAATCACTGGTCTAGGTTTGAACTTTGCTCCTATCCACAGACGCCTATGTGAGCACAAGTATGGCAATGCCCCCCGCGTCCGTATCAATGGTCATGTGGCCGCGCGTTTCCCCTTCATCCCTATGCCGCTGGACTACATCCTGCCTGAGCTCCTCAAGAATGCCATGAGGTGGGCTGGCTGGATATGTTGGAAGGGGGCAGACAGGAACTGGGATGAGGCTGGGGTACCACCACCTACTGGTCTTTCCTCCCCGCGTAGAGCCACGATGGAGAGTCACCTAGACACTCCTTACAATGTCCCAGACGTGGTCATCACGATCGCCAACAATGATATCGATCTCGTCATCAGGTTTGCCCTTAGTGGGAGTTAGGCTGGGATACGTGGGGGTTCCAGGCACTGTTTCTTCCCTGCTGCTTGACCTTGAGCCAGGACCTGCCCCCCACTGGTCAGACAAGATACTCTCCGGTTCTGAGAATGCCATGAGCTGGATATGAACGGATCTGGGGCCGGCTGCAGGTGCCAGGGGCCCTATCCTTGTCAGCAACTGAGGGGCCTGGAGTGGGGAGTTAGGATGTTGGGTTGACAGTAAGTGTAAAATCCCGTGAGAAGGTACAGCAGCCAGTGGCCCAGGCAGAAGTGAGGATGGAAGGATGTTGCTTATAAAAAACAAGGCCCCAGGGTCTAGGTGGATCACATTCCATCTTTGGGTGGAAGGGGCAGGAAGGCAGACTTCGCACTGTTTGTTTGGGAGGTGGTGAGGCCCCCACCAAAGCTGGGCCCAGCCCATGTTATCAACATCTTGCCAGGATTTCAGACCGGGGCGGGGGAATCGCTCACAAAGATCTGGATCGGGTTATGGACTACCACTTCACTACAGCTGAGGCCAGCACCCAGGACCCCCGGATCAGCCCCCTTTTTGGCCACCTGGACATGCACAGTGGCGGCCAGTCAGGGCCCATGCATGGGTGAGGCCCCACCTGGCTAGGATGGAGGGGTGGGGGGGGCCCCAGGGGACTCAAGCCTCTGAAGCCTCTATCCTATCCCCCTGCCCATCCCAGCTTTGGCTTCGGGCTGCCCACCTCACGGGCCTACGCGGAGTACCTCGGTGGTTCCCTTCGGCTGCAGTCCCTGCAGGGCATTGGCACAGATGTCTACTTGCGACTCCGGCACATCGATGGTCGAGAGGAAAGCTTCCGCATCTGACCCCACAGCCCTTGGCCTACTTGCCTGCCTAGCCTGGGCCCCACACCCTGCCAGGACCTTCTGGGTGAGGCAGGGTGCCACCCTGCTCCACATGCTGCTGCATCTTGGGCCTTAGGGCCCCAAACAGATGGAATTACATGGAGCCCGGTGCCACCCCTCCTCTACAGAGGCCCACTGCTTCCCTGCCTCCAGGCCTTGGGGGAGAGGAAGTGGGGACCCTTGAGACCTCCAACACCAGCTCCGTTATTCTCGTTCCTGGGGAACCCCTACCTTGACCTGCTGTTTGTTATTAAAGTTCACATTTTGAATGCCCTCTTGGGCCCCGTGTGTGGGGAGGGCAGGTGGGCTTTTGTTTCCACCCTATTCTGGTTCCCTGGGCCCTTGGGTTTAAGTAGCTTGTGTCCCAGTCTCGAACTGTCCAGACAGCCTGTCAGGCCAGGTGTAGAATTGCCCCCAAATCTCTTTTCATTTAACAAATGCTAAATTTCATGTAACAGGTGTTTCTGGGTCCCAGGCGATATCGAAGGTCCAAGTTGGCCCAGCTTCAGGCCTCAGTTCTGACACTTCTCTTATTGACAGTCACAGGTTCTGGAGGTGAAGGTTACCAGACTGGGCAACCTCCTGAGCCATCTGATTCCTGAGCCTGAGTAAGATTAAAAATACTGCCTGCCAGTTGTGCCTGCTTCTGCCAAGAAAAAGGAACACACAAGATTATATCCTGGCATGTCCCAGGGGACAGTGGGGCCCTGGTCCGGGGGGGAGGGGGCAGAAGGAAAGGGCTCCAGACAGCAGGTGGTGACCCAAGGGAGGGGGAAGAAAGGCCTGAAAGCCTGCTTGGTGGGACTGGTGATGGAAGTGGGGGGTTGAGGGGAGACGGGAATTGTATCTGGAGGTCAGATGTGACTTACCAGGCTGAAAATCCTGCTGGCTCTGGCACAGGGGTTGAGGCTGGAATCTGGCCAGGAAGCATGGGCTTTCTCCTGTAGGCAGCAGGAATCCATGGACAGATTTTCAGCTAGAAAGGGATGTTTCCAGTTGGCTTTCCTAGAAGAAGACGCTGAAAGGAGGGTTTGTGTCCATGTGATTTGTTGAGAAAGTGCTCCAGTTAGGGAGTAGGGGAAGCAGAAAAGGGAAGGGCAGGAGGCCAGACAAGGATGTCATCTCAGGCAAAAGTTCAGAGCCAGCTGCTAAGTTCTGTCTTCGAGCTGGAGGCGGGAGAGCTAAATTCCACAGTCATTGATGAACTCTGCTTGACAATCATTGGTTAATGTCTGTGTTGGGAAGTAGGGGTGGGTAGGTACTTAAACTTTCAAGTTGAAAACTTCCCTTTGCAGCTTTTTTTTTTTTTTTTTTAAGATTTTATTTATTTATTTGAGCGCGCGCAAGAGAGTGAGAAACAGGGACGCCTGGGTGGCTCAGTCGTTGAGCGTCTGCCTTCAGCTCAGGTCCTGGTCCCGGGGTCCTGGGATCGATCTGGCTCCCTGCTCGGCGGGAGGCCTGCTTCTCCCTCTCCCACTCCCCCTGCTTGTGTTCCCTCTCTCGCTGTGTCTCTCTCTGTCAAATAAATGAATAAAATCTTAAAAAAAAAAAAAGAGAGAGAGAGAGAGGAGGGGGAGAGGGAAAGGGAGAGAGAGAATCCCAAGCAGAATCTGCACTGAGCCCAGAGTCCAACGCAAGGCTCAGTCTCACAACCCTGAGATCATGACCCGAGCCAAAATCGGAGTTGGACACATCACTGAGATCTTGACCTGAGCTGAAAGTGGGAGTCGATGGACACTTAACCAACGGAGCCACCCAGGTGTATCCCTGCCCCGTTTAACCCCCCACCCCTCCCTTTTCAGCTTTTTTAAGGCAAAACAGCTCTATTAGCCCAAGGGATAGTTTGACAAAGAGCCTCTGGCTTTTGAAAGCACATCAAAGGTAATCTGAATCTGAAGAAGCAACAAAAAGAAATTCCAGAGGGTCTGGGTGAAGCATCTACACAGTTCTAGAAGTAACAGATTTGCACATTAGAAGGGAGGATTAGAGGGAGAATAGTGAGGAGTTGGTGTAGTAACCTGGATCAGGGATTTATAAGGCCCAGGCTAATCCTCAACTAGAAAGGATAGCAACCCTGTTAACAAGATGTTGGGTGAAGTCAAAAGTGAGGCACCAGAACCCTGGGTGGAGAGAATAACAGTCTTGAAGATGGGGGGTGGTATGGGGAGTGGGAGAAGGCATTGGAATTTTTTTTAAAGATTTTATTTTTTGACACAGAGAGAGAGAACACAAGCAGGGGGAGTGGGAGAGGGAGAAGCAGGCTTCCCACCGAGCAGGGAGCCCCATGTAGGGCTCGATCCCAGGACCCTGGGATCATGACCCGAGCCGAAGACAGACGCTTAACAACTGAGCCACCCAGGTGCCCCTGGAATTTTTTTTTTTTTTTAAGATTTATTTTAGAGGGTGAGGAGGGGGAGAGGGAGAGAGAGAAACCGTCTTAGGCAGATTCCGTGCTGAGCATGGAGCCTCACGTGGGGCTCGATCTCATGACCCTGAGATCATGACCTGAGCCGAAACCAAGAGTCCAAAGCTTAACCAATTGCGCTACGCAGGCGCCCCAGGGCATTGGAATTTTTTTTTTCTTGCCTGACTTGTTTATTTCTCCGGATTCTTATGCAGCCAGACACTTGGCATTCACTGTCCACTCTCCCCCCAGTTCTTTAATTTCCCCAAAGCCAAGTTACCAGTGCTTCCCACTGCCATCATCTCACCCCCAATGAACTCCACTATTTCTTTGACCGAGAGAGACACAGCGAGAGAGGGAACACAAGCAAGGGGAGCAGGAGAGGGAGAAGCAGGCTTCCTGCGGAGCAGGGAGCCCGATGCGGGGCTCGATCCCAGGACCCTGGGATCATGACCTGAGCCGAAGGCAGACGCTTAACGACTGAGCCACCCAGGGGCCCTCCACTATTTCTTGATCTGAAACCTGAGCCCCATCCTCCGGCCTTGAGCATTCCACCCCGTTAGAATTGCTTTTAATCCCAGTAACCAATTTATAAGTCAAAGACGATTCAGAGAATGGCCAAAAAGAATGTTTATTGAGCACCTACCCTGTTTGACACTGTACAACACACTTATTTTATATACAGAAGAGACAGGTAAATATATGGCTTACCCTTTATATAGCTCTATGGATTGTACAGTTATGTATAATTTAACCTTTACGGTCGCTCTGAGGATGGACACCCTTGCACAATTTACCCAGAGTAGGGTCAGAATCCAGGATTCCTCATTCACTAAGCCCAAGACGCTCTCCAATATGTCCACTGCCTTTGACTAGTTTGTTTAGGGGATGTCTGTTGTAGGGGACCTGGTCCTTTCTTTAGAAAGGTTTCATTCTACGAGAGCAACTTACTCGCTATCCCTGGACATAGACGTCCTGTCTCCCTCACCCTGAACAAGGAAGGCAGCTCCCTCAATCTTTATAAAAGGGGTGATCTGGGTTAGTCTGGCGGAAACGGGCGGCGCGGGGGTGGGTGTTAATTCCAGGCTCAAAGCCCTAATGCCAGGCAGCCAGGGAGGCCGCTCTGGCTCGCCGGGTACCGGGTAAAGTGGGGGCAGCGCCTCTGGTAAGTGGCACATCCTGGCTTCCTCGGGTACCAGGCCCTTTAAAAAGATTGGGCTGAGTCATCACATCAGGAAAGTCTTTCTCCTCTTTCAACTCGGGGTTCAGCCATATTTCCAGACGGAAAAAGAAAAATTCCGTAACTTGGCAATCGGCACAGAAAGGTCAAACTTGTCCGGGGCGGCGGGGGTGGGGGTGGGGGTGGCGCTGGAAGGCCGCACTAACCAATGAGCTCTTGCCACATCACAGACCCCACCCTCAAGCCGGCAGCGGCCTCCGCCACGCGTCGCTGACCCGGAACTAAAGGGCTGCGCGGCGCCGGATTCTGGCGTCATTCTACTACAGCGATGGCGGCTCAGGGAGCAGCTGCGGCGGTTGCGGCGGCGACTTCAGGGGTCGCGGGGGAGAGCGATCCCGGGCCCGGGGAGAATGCGGCGGTCGAGGGGACCGCCCCGTCCCCGGGCCGCGTCTCTCCCCCGACCCCGGCGCGCGGCGAGCCGGAAGTCACCGTGGAGATTGGAGAAACGTACCTGTGCCGACGCCCGGACAGCACCTGGCGTGAGGGCGGGGCCCAAGGCCAGGGGGCGGGGTCTGAAGGCGGGTTCTCTGAGGGGCTGGGCGTCATGGGGGCGGGGCTTGAGGGAAGAACGCGGAGTTTCGGGCTCTCCCGGGCGCCGCCTCGTAACCCCAGTAGTCACCACAGTCACCGAGTTCTTCTAATGCTGTGTAGAGCTCCCATTCTACTTGCTTGTCCAATCTTAGGCTTCATTGCCTTTTCACACAAAACCGTGGTTCCTTGCTGGTGTGTCTTGTCTGCGATTTCCTCTTCCAGCCCTCTTCTACAACCGCCAACGAAGAGGACCTACGGAAACAAAAACGAGCTTCCCTTTTCCTTCCCTCCTCTTCCCTCATCTTCAGAATAAACCCCAAATTCCTTAGAATGGCGTGCATCTTTGTGACCTCTCTGGTTTCTAGCCACTGCTAGCAAAGGCCATTGCCGAGCAGACCACATTGTACCCACTGAAGACCATATGCCTTTCGCCGCCTGTGCCCGCTGCTTTGAATGCCCTTCCCTTTCTCCTGCCTGGTTCACCTGGCTCGCGCTTACTCAACCTTTTAACATCCCATAACTCCTGTGATGCCATTACTGATTTCCTTCGGGCAGAGTGAGTCGTTCCCTTCTGTATGTGCCTGCAACATTTTCTTCATACCTCAGTCAGCTGTGGTATATGTGACATTATGTTGTCATTGTCAGTCTGCGTCTTCCCCTATCAGAGTGGGAATTTCTGGAGGGCAGGGCATCTTGTGATTCACTGCAGTGTTCTCTCTACCCAGCAATAACACAGCATAGGACCTGACACGCAGTGATTGCCTTACTCATTTGTTGGATGGTCTGCCAGTTGTCAGGCATTATGCTAAAAGCTTTAGAGGCATTAACTCTCCCTCTGAGGTGCGCACTATTATCCCTATTTTGTAGATGAAGAAACTGAGGCTCAACCAAAATAATTTGCAGTTAAATAAAGGAAGTGGGGAGCTAGGATTATATATAAACCCAGAGCCAGCCCTCGTGACTCCTGAACAAATGAACAACTGAGTATAAAACAAGCATTGAATTTGAAGCCAGACTTAAACCCAGTTAAGTGTTAGCTTCTTAGCACTTTTCAAATACGTGAGCCTGGGTAAGTCTCAGTTTTTCATCTGCAAAGTAA